AAAGAGCATAGTTTTTTTGAGGTATGTATCGAACATATAGAAAGAAGATGGTCTTTTGTACTAATTTTTATAAAGACAGTTTCCTGTTGCAGAGCTAAGATACATAGGTAGTTTGGTTAGATATCCTATCAAATAATAGACAAGCAAATATATTTAATGATTAGCAGTGAAAATGTTTAAATTGATAGTGGCAGTTTATGTAAGAGCCCAGCAGGATTTCAGCCAAAATTAAAAGTATGTGCACATTACCAACTTCACAATCCTCTACTTTTTCCTTACTGAGAGATGTCTGTTGCTCCAAAACCTGTTAAAAACAAGTTCCAAACCTAAACCTTAACCTCTTAACAGTGCTGGACACAATGTATGTATGAATATGTACCTACATATATTTCACAAGGGTTTTTTTTAGAAGACGAAAACCCAAACAGTATGTTTGAGTTTTTCATCTTTAAAATAAGAAAATATTAAAGAATCACTATTGTGAATCACCGTTTGGGACTTTATTTATTGCTCTATATTGTTCTTCTCCATTTCCCAGCACCATTTGGCCTTTGTTTCTGCCTCTCTGTCCCTGTTGCTATGCATTTGTGCTGCTCCATCCTCTGATCTTGCTGCTCTCTGGCACTTTTTTCTCTTGTCACTTCTGTGAAGGTTCCTGCTGCTAAGTAGCTGCCTCCTTCAGTCTGTCAGGGTGGTACAGCCTTTTGTGTCCCCTCCTCTCAGTTTAACTTTATTTCAGTTCTCCTGCAGTTCCTACAGCTGTCAGGTTTCTGTATGGTTTTCCATTTCTCATCCCAGGCAGCAATTATATTTTGTGGTGGGTTTTTTAGGTTTTTTTTCTTACTATTATTTTTGCTTCTACAAAATAGCTTAATTTTCTACTTTACTAATGAACTATGGACTTCCTTTTATAAGTCTGAAGAAATAGCTATGCATGGTGATTTCTCCATACAGAAAGTGGAGGTTATAAATATGCAAATATCACTTTTGGCTTTACAAAGTTTAATTGCTTTGTATATTATGCAGAATCCTAGGCTTAAAAATCTGACAAGAGCAAGTAACACATTTGTATATTCACTATCTTAAAAATGCAGGCAGATTATTGAAAAGTGTGCCGGTTTTTTGAGGCTGCAGGTTTACATCTTGTTGATGTTATTACAGGGTGTGTAGGGTGCTTGCATGACTGAGGTTCTTCACTGAATGCAAACATCGCGTTTCTAAACTGTACATTTTGCAGAGCCTCTGTGAAAAGCAGTTGGAGCAGCTGCTGCTGCCATCCTTCTACATGCCAAGATCACAGGAAGCAGAGCTGGAAGGGACCTCTGGAGATCATCTAGTATGTTGCTACCCTAAAGCAGGATCAGCTAGTTCTGAACATTTCCAAACAGTCATAGATTTTTGAGCTTGAGGCAAGAAATCAAGAAGTTCTCATGTTGTGTTTGATATTTGAAATGTTTTTTCTTTTATTGGCTAAAGTATAAAACAGAGGTATAATCCAGGATATTTCACTGTCACACATGAAAATTATTTAAAAAAAAAAAAATGTATGTGCTTAAAGTATCTGCAAAAGGTCCGGGCCCTGAAGTTAGTAGTCACATATTATGTTAGGGGTATAAGGTAGGCACTGAATGCCTCACAAAGTTGGGAACCATTTCAGTATAATACTTCTCTGCTCTGTTGTTTTTTTTCTAGTGATGTTAGAAGGACTAACCTCTGAACACCCTGTTGGAAGTGCAGGCTGCTATGTTTTAGCTATCTTGGAGAGAGAGAGAGATAGATTTAGATATTAATAACTAGGAGTCTTCCAGTGTCCTAGTTTTATCCCCATATTCAGAGAGATGGATTGCTTTGATCTGTCCACTTGCCTTGAAGTTTCTCTTCACTGGAGGCAAATCAGAGAAAAAGAAAGCAAAAGTATTGATTTGCAAAATTCAAACTAGACAACACAGATGCAGAAGAAAGGTGGAAAGAGAGGAAATTAAATTTGTTCATATATTCCTTAGAATAGTTCAAAATCTCTCTTACTTTTTAAGATCCAACTCACAGGCTGTTAAAATATTCAGAATCCTGTGGCTGAGGACCCGTTTCTGCATGGATCCAAGACACTTTGGTGTAAGCCCTGAAAGAAGATCTAGATTTGGGAGCTCTGTTTTTTTTTATTTGGGAAGAAGTTTTGGTGACTTCAGTATTTTCTTTTACATCACAAACTTCTTTACAGATTGTTCATATGCATTAATTACGTGATGGGAACTAGTGGACGAGCCACATTATTTGCTCTTGAGCCAAGACATGGTTTGATGTATTGATGACTCCCTGCTGCCCTGCAGTTTCAGCAGAGTGACAGAAAAAGCCTTTGCTTCAGCAGAAGCAGCAGAGACTGCCTCTTGCCAGGACAGCTGGTAGGCAGATTAGGTGGGAGGTGTGGGATTGAATCGCTGTAGACCAAGGCAGGATCCCGGCTGAGTCCTTAAAGCACAAAACTGTTTGACAGCAGTGCTCCCATCACCTCCATCCCTCCCTCTCTGGCAGCACTTTAAAAGAGCAAACGCTGCTTGGGTTTCTTTTTTTCAGGAGAGGGTGTCAGACCGAGCCCTTAATGGGATTGATGTATCTTCTGCAGGATGAATGGTGTACCCTTCTGCTAAGCGTGTCCACATTGGCCTCATAGGCAGTTTCTGACTGAACATGCAAGCTATGCTCCCTTGCCGTACAGTCCTGACACTGGGTTCTCACCACTTGAAAGTTAAGCAATGACACACAGCAGTATGGGACTGGGAGAACCTTGAATCATCAAGTGTACTCATCCCCAGTCATAAACACTGATTTGTAATTAAGTCTGGAATGATCAACAAGAATATTCACTTCCTGCCGTGTTCTTTTGTATTGAGTTTGTGTGGCAGTGTTTTAGTAGCAGGGGAGGGGGCTACAGGGGTTGGCTCCTGTGGGAAGCTGCTAGAAGCTTCCCCAGCTCCAAGTTGGACCCGCCTCTGGCCAAGGCCGAGCACATCAGCGATGGTGGTAGCACCTCTGGGAGAACATAGTTAAGAAGGGAAACCTGCAGCGGAGAGTGGAATGTGAGAGAAACAGCTATGCAGACACCAAGGTCAGTAGAGAAGGCCGGGGGGGGGGTATGCTCCGGAGGAGGTGATTCCCCTGCAGCCTGTGGTGAGACAGCAGGCTGTCCCCCTGCACCCCCTGGGTGGGTGCCCCAGAAAATGGCCATGACTCTGTGGGAAAGCCTGTGCTGGAGCAGTCTGTGCCTGAAGGACTGCAGCCTGTGGAAGGGACCCACGCTGGCGCAGTTTGTGAAGAACTGCAGCCTGTGGGAAAGACTTGCATTGGACTGTCTCCCATGGGAGGGACCCCACTCTGGAGCAGGGGGAGAGTGTGAGGAGTCCTGCCCCTGAGGAGGAAGGAGTGGCAGAGACAATGTGTGACGAACTGACCCTAACCCCCATTCCCTGTCCCCCTGTGCTGCTGGAGGGGAGAAGGTGGAGAAAACCAGGAGTGGAGTTGAGCCCGGGAAGGAGGGAGGGGTGGGGGAAGGTGTTCTAAGATTTGGTTTTACTTCTCATTATCCTGTTTTGATTTCATTGGTAACAAATTAAGTTGATTTTGTGTTTTTTCCCAAGTCGAGTCTGTTTTTTTCTTTTCGCTAGCTCCTTTATCCTCCATGGGAGCTTCCCACAGAATCCCTCCCAAATGAGCTCTGAGTGAGCTGAAGTTTGCTCTTCTGAAATCTAAAATGTTTGGCTTAGTACTAACCTTCAGTGTGCTCAGCAGGATCCCAAACTCCACAATATTGTGATCACTGCAGCCAAGGCTATTGCTAACTGAGATATTACAAAGCAGGTTTTCTTGGTTTATGAGTAGTAAG